ATCGTACCCTCACTGCCCCAACAGGAGGAGCGTCAGACGCACTTGTGTCGTCTTGATGTTGGGGCAACCAACCATCCCCCCCTCACGGCTTAACACTCCCCCCTCCCGCCCGTCACAACCTCCGCCATGCAAGTCGGGGACTCCCCACCCGAATATGAAACACGTGCCCCCCATTACTTTGTAGTGTCTTCAACACACCCCCACCCCCCCCCCGCCACCCAGACGTTACGAGAGATACAATGTTGTTTCGGCGAAATGTTTTAAATGTGTAATAAAGGACTCGACCCTGGTTCTGTCTCCGTGTCCTTTATTTGGGTTCGCGTTCTCCTTCCCTCACGGCACTCCTCCTGAGACTCTCTGCCTGGCAGCTCCACAGCTGCCTTCGCTCCCGTAGCCTTCCGCGCTCCTGCAGCTCCGCTGCAGGCTCTGGGTGCAGCCCTCTGGCTGCTCTCACAGCAGCTCCACCGCTGCTCCCTGTTCCTCCGTGCTCGGTCACCGCTGGCCGGCGGTGCCGAGTCTTACCGTGTGTGGCGATCTCGCCACTCCCCAATCTCAGCCCTGCGTGGCCTCTGTGGCGATCTCGCCATCTCCAACCTCAGCCCTGCGTGGCCTCTGTGGCTATCTCGCCATCTCCAACCTCAGCCCTGCGTGGCCTCTGTGGCTATCTCGCCATCTCCAACCTCAGCCCTGCGTGGCCTCTGTGGCTATCTCGCCACTCTCCGTCTCTATCCCCAACTCTCTCTTCCACCCCGCTGGCTGGCGCCGTCATGAGCCCCTCAGCCACCAGGCTGAGGCACGGCGACCACCCAACGTGTTCACCCTCCTTCACTCCCCCGACTGCCCCGATCTCTTCCTGTCTCACCGCTATACCATCTCCCCCTCACGTGACCCTGACTCCTCCCCACATGACGTCACATCCGCCAAGCCGTTTACGCCCGCATTACAAATGTAAACAAGACGATTTCCCTCCCTCCCCCTTCCGTCTCCCTCCCTCCCCTCCCTCCCTCCCCTTCCCTCCCCTTCCCTCCCCTTCCCTCCCCCTTCCTCCCCTTCCCTTCCCTCCCCCTCCATCTCCTCCCTCCCCTCCCTACCCCTCTCTCCCCTTCCCTCCCCCTCCATCCCACCCCCTCCCTCCCTCCCCCCCTCTCCCCCTCCCTTCCTCCATCTCCCTGGCCATCAAAACACGATAAGCCCAACGAAGTGGCTGCTTGATATCATCACGTGGAAATTCATATCAGCAGCCAAATACCCTAAAACGCGTGGCGTTAATTCTAAATGTGGAGGGGGGAAACCAGAGGACGCCGAGAAAAATCCATGCAGCCACGGGAATAAGAGAGAACACGCACAGACTCAATATTAACAACAGGCATCAGGGTCAGGATTAAAACCCATTACCTCATTTATAGCAGGCGTGGGAGTTAACATCTCGCAGGGTCTGGGATCGAACCCACGACCTTCTGTATACCAGGCGAGGTAGTTAACATCTCACAGGGACACAGGATGGAACCCACGACCTCCTGTAGACCAGGCGAGGTAGTTAACATCTCACAGGGACACAGGATGGAACCCACGACCTCCTGTAGACCAGGCGTGGGAGTTAACATCTCGCAGGGTCCGGGATCGAACCCACGACCTTCTGTAGACCAGGCGAGGTAGTTAACATCTCACAGGGACACAGGATGGAACCCACGACCTCCTGTAGACCAGGCGAGGTAGTTAACATCTCACAGGGTCACAGGATCGAACCCACCACCTCCTGTATACCAGGCGAGGTGGTTAACATCTCACAGGGTCACAGGATCGAACCCACGACCTCCTGTAGACCAGGCGAGGCAGTCAACATCTCGCAGAGTCCGGGATCGAACCCACGACCTCCTGCACAGCAGGCGAGGTAGTTAACATCTCGTAGCCACCGCGGCACCCGCTCAAGTACACGCTAGTCCGCACCGTGTGCCTCTTGCGCAGCGCACGTTAAATTTCCCGTGACGCCATTTATAGATGAAGAGGCAATTGCGCGTTTTGCATTCAACTATGAGCCACGCGTCATTTCCTTTGAACCCCCCCCCCCTCCGTTTTTCTTTTTTACATCCCGCAGGACAGTTCCGTGGCTTTGATTGCGAGCTTGAAGGTGGGCCGAGCTTTTGTCTCTCCTGCTTCGAAGGCGGAACGTACACGGACACCAGCAACAACGCGGGCGCTTGCAGCGAATGCAGAACCTGCGGCAGAGGTAACGATGAACGGAACGGTGCCAGCGCTTTAGTCATTGATTTGCTCGCCCACCCAGAAAAGTCTGTACCGAGTTTCGATTTAAAGCTGTTTGTTCCAAGCCGGGTGGTGTTTCATTCAGACGCTGTCTTTCCGACAGCCCTGTTCTTCACCTGAGGACGGCTGCTTGCGTTGTGGCCGAAACGTCGTGAGAATTATTTAATGTTTTATTATTATTTTATTATTTCCCTTCTACGTGACTTTACCGAAAGAACCAAGAAGAAGGTCTGTACCGAATCTCAAGCCTTGTTCCAGGAGGGGGGGGGGAGGGAGAAAACTAGAGGACCCCCCCCCTCACCTCGAGAAAACTACTCCGCATACAAGGGGAGTTTCAGGTTCCTGAATCGTCACGAAAACCCCCTCCCAGAGTAGACCTCGGCCCAATGTGGGGGGTTCCTCCTTCTCTTCTGCTGCCCTCATGGCCCAAGGAGAAACTCGCCTGCCCCTTCAGGGTGCGGTTGGTTTGAGGGCTGCTGTTTCTTTTATTCTTAATATGGGAGAGAGAGGATTTCGGATTCATTT